AAAGTATCTGCAATTAATTAAAAAAAAAAAAAAAAGATACCGGAACTAGCTACAGTAGTGCAATATTCAGTTGTAGACCACAAATGATGGTGGTGTTTCAGTTAGTTTCCTGCCAATTAGCCCAGCCGATTGTACAAAGTTTTCTTCCAAAGCATGAATACTGGGGAACTAACAGGCATTTCCCTGGGCATGTCTGTCCGAGCCTGCCCCAACAGCTGTCAGGTGCCTGGTGGGTGCCATAAAACTGTTTGCTTACATACAGGGCTAAAAGTATGTTTACATTCATATACATTCGTATATCACTGCTGCTACTGTCACACAAAAAATAGTCCTCTCAGAGCAGCCCAATGGTCAGATCAGCACCTACTCTTGTATCTTCTTTCCTAAAACAGAGGGAAATCTTTCTTCTCTAGTGAGGGAAGAGATATTAAACATAAGCAATCAGCCTTCTGCTGGCATCGTCTCTTGCTGCTGGCTTCTTCTGTGCTTTGGGATTTCCTGAGCAAGGGTTGCCACTTCGTGGTTAATAACCCTTACAGGATTTTTTTTTTTTTAATGTGGTTTTGTAATTGGTTTTGATCTCATTTATTCTTTTGACAGCTAGAATATCCCATGACTATGAATTTCAGTCTGCTGTGTGAAATTTTTGTTTTAGTTATGTTACCTCAGATAATTTTATGCAAAATTCCTTGCTTCTAGAAGGAAAGCATTATAGAAACAATTAATTTCCTCCCTTATTTGTGTCATTCATTATGTTATAGGCCACTATCACATGGGCCCTCAGTGATCCCTTTTCCAGGAAACAGAGGCCCAGTGCATAAAGTCTCTTTTCACAGGGAAACTGTTTCTTTCCTTTCATCATTCTTGATTTGTTTGATTTCTGTTTTATCCTTTTAGAGTGATAAGGATCATATAATGATGTTTTCTCTTTAGTTTCCTGTCCCTACTTCCAAATTTGGCTTTTTTTTTTTTTAACCTATGATGATCAACAAGCTGAATTATCCAAAGTAACACCATGTGCTTACTCCTGACTGTTGCTAGCTAATTTAAAATCCATTTTTGAATATGCACCATTTTGAGTGTCTTTCACTAAGTGTCAGGGACTCTGTCAGCCACTACACGTTTGGTTTTGCTACTCTGAATCAGTGAACTGCTGTTCACCTCCGTACAGAAGATTAGCTTAATGAACTTGGTTCAGTTCTTTCAAATCCTGAGAGATGTTGGTGCGAGTGGGTAGAGGTTGTCTTCATTTAACTCAGTCACTTTTACCTCAGTTTAATTAAAGCGATGCAAACACGTGGGGAAGCCAAAGAAACAACCACACCTTAGACCAGGTAGCTGGGCAAGGTGTTACTTGGTATGTGCAACCACTGTGTATTCAACAATTGCCCAAGGTATTCAGAAATTTTAGCTGTTGGAAATCAGTTTGAGCTGGTTCATTACAACATGTGTTATTCAAGTTTCTGTTCAGTGAAGCTTACTTTTGTGTATTTCTTTGATGAAATTTCTACAGCTGCCTCAGATTTAAGCACATTGAGATTTCAATTACTGTGTACATTAAAATGAGAGTTATTTGTCTCTCCTAGATGTGAATTGAATTGTCCTTTGCCTCCTAGATGCCTGGGAGGATTCCTGTTGGGGGCACCGATGTCTTTGTGCTTTTTTTTTTTGTAGCACTGTTGGAGAGGCTGTTGGGTTGGTGCTGCAGCAGGCATGGCCAGGCGGGAAGTGCCTGCACCTGGGGAGGAGCTGGTGCCCCCCACAGCTGGCCAGCACAGCTGGAGCCCCCAGCAATCAGGGCCGGCAGCCAATGTAAGAGAGGTGTAGGGAAACGAGGCCTTTTCTAGGGGCTGTGGGTGCCAGCTCTCTGAGTTCCTATCTGGAGGGCCTCAACAAAGGTTTGGGTTTTTTCCCCTCCTTGTGTCAGTGGTATTTGTTTGTTTAGCACTTTCATTTGTAAACAGTGAGTTTTGAGGTCTTGCTTTATTACTTTTGCAATGTTTTTCTGCATTCTTACTTCTTTTCTAAGTTTTGCTAGATGAAGTCAAATGGAGTGTAAGTATGCTTGACTCCTTGGAAGTCCATTGAGTTGTACCTTCCTGTTATGTCTCAAAACTGTAAGGAAACCTTATGAAAAGATGGTTAGAGTTAGATTTCCCCTACCTACTGCCTAGATATGTTCAGAAATTTTGGAAGAGAAAGCTGGTGTTCTGGCATTCTAGTTTTTATTCTCAGGTGGTGAAAAGGAGGCTAGAGTAAAGATTAAAAGAAAATCTTTGGCTTGCACCCTACTCTACTTAAAGCATCCATAAAGCTTTTGGCTATGGTTTCCTTTCCCTGTAGGCATGGGTTTAGGTTGGGTTAGCTGGGCGTGCAAGCTCCATTTTTAGCTTTTATTTAAAAAAAGGAAAAAAGTCAATGATTACTGCATTTTTATTTAACTAAGTTCATAGCATAGAAGCAAAGTCTCCAAAGAATGCCCAAGGTTGCTGCTACCTCTGTGGTCTCCTCATCAGCCACAGAGCAGTACGGCTGGGCAGTGCTTTATGGACAGGGATGGCTGACGGTGTTTTGCTCTCTTGCAGAGCAATGTTGGCTGTCTCTGCTCACCTGGGCTGCAAATCTGGGACGCTCTCACTCCTCATGAATGTGACTGCCTCAACTTCAGTTTTGGCCCTTCGAAGAACGACTCAGTACATGCTGACTGAGGTATGTGTTTCTCAGCATGTTCAGTTACTAAAAATGTTTCCTTAAGTTTCTAAAAAGATTGTGACATGTATTTATCTATGTTGCTTGAATGAGGTTTTGAAGTTTTGATAGGTTGTATCAAGACCGTTTTTCTGGGTTTTATTATTGTCTGAAGTGTTTTTGAGATATGGGTGGTAAGGAAGTGCAATTGCATTTGCAGTAAAATAAAAGTGCTCAGTGAGTGTGTGTGGGCCCAATAGCTGGTGTTACTGAGACAGGAGTTTGCAAATGATTTGTTTCTCTAAGTTCAGGAGGTGGCTACTAGAGAAAAGCAAAGCTGAATGCTGTATCCTATTTTTCAGGATTGCAAACTATGTACTATGTGGCTCTCCAGAGTAAGGATTTTTGTATGTTCTTCCAGTTAAGAGGTTTCTTTAGTTCTTGATTTCTTAGTGGAAAAATGTGACTGTCAGCATTCAGCCCTTGGTGTTTCAGGTTTCACACTTGCCAGTGTCTCTTGTGTACATCCTTCTTCAGAGGGATATGGAGAAAGGAGGAGCCTTTTCAACTTACTTGACCTGTGTTATACAGCAGTGAATGGTCCACGTTTGGGGACCCTGAGCAAGACTATACAAATGTACCACGCAGATTATTTGTCGTTCCCAGTTGGGATTTAAGGTATAGTTTGTACATCTGCTAATATACTGGGAGAATCTGAGATGGGGGTTGTGATGTGTTGTGAAAATAGTAACCTTGGTGTACTGTTTAAATTGTTTTTCCATAAAGAATGAAGAAACAGCTTTGTATTTCAAAGCATCAGTGTTATATGAAATCTCTATTATTTTTCTTAAAGTTAGAATTATTTGTCGCTTTGTTTATGAGTAGGGTGTTGCTCTTGACCTCATTCATATAGGGCAGGAAGGTGAATCACTTGGCAATGGAAAAGGAGGGAAAGCAGTTTAATCATCTTTGTTGACACCAAATTGTTTGTGTTAATTTACTTTTGGTTTAAATATGAAAAAGTTATTTCTTTGAGGAATCTTAGAAAATGTGGTGATAAGGATCTAGAACTTTTCAGCTGGTCTACTCGGCATTTTTTCTCTTCTTGGTGGAGTGCTAAATCTGAGGTGTTGGCATTTGGGGACCCTCCAGTTCTTCTGGTGGAAAGATGTATTTCAGTTCTGAGCTCAGCTTTGTGGCTTGTGTTTGCTATGGGAATGGTGCTATTGGCAAGCTTTATATAGAAAAGCAGTATGTTTTGTTTCTCAAATGATAATTTACCAGCTAGCTCTGAATATATGCTTTTCCTTTCCATGGAGCTCACCTGGGAGGAAGTCTTTTGTCCCTTGAAACAGTTTCTTTTTTCAAGACTTTAGAATGGCACAATTCTGTGGCCAGCCTTTCCCCCTCAGCTCATACTCATGCACACATGTGTGCACATGTTCTTGCTCTCTCCCATGCAGGCTGCATGAGAAGAGCACTCAGATCTTCCCAGAAATCAGGCTTGCCATGTGGTATAAATGTGTCACTGTGGTAAAGAACTCCAAGAGGCAAACATGCACCATGTTTTTAGGGGTGACCAGGCATAGAAGAACTGTGTGCTGGTGCATCTATTACGATTTTTCTGTTTGTTTTAAACAAAGGAGATCTCTCATGTTACAGGCAGGGTATCTAAAGTCTGAAGTTAATGTTATGACATCCTTATCTTAACTTCCAATCACAACAGCACTGGTAGTCTCAGTAGAAAAATTGCTTGCCATTGAATTTGGATTGAGGATGTGAGAAGAGCAACAAGCATTTAGTATGTCTAGTTCTTGCAAACTTCTAGTGTTTGCCAAGAATTAACTAGATCCAATCCCCTGAATTTTAGGTGATATACCTTAATGACTTTTAAAACCAGTAAACCTTATTTTCCATCATAACAATTTGCTGACACCTAAGCTTTCCTATCCAGCTATTAAGGATAGAAGTATACTTTGATTATAGCAGGTTTTTCCTTCAGAAGAATGTTAGATGATACCAGGTTGTTAAAAACTAAAAGCTGGCACTGTTAACCCAAGCTGCTCCACCAGCAGAGGAGACTTTGGGGGAAGCTCTCTCACCCAGGATCTGACCAGGGTCGTTGCAACTTAGGGATTTGGCTACAGTGGCGGAACTCTTCCTTGTGTGGTCTGGGTCACGGTGATGCTGGGGCAGGTTTGCACTGTGAACACCAGGCTGCGGCTGGCCAGTCCATCACTGGGAACCCAACTCAGCTGCTAGTAAAACTTCACAGGAAGGAATGTGCAAAAAAACCCATACCACTCACTTGCTGTTTTTTGCAGTACTTTAATACAGCATTAAAATGCTAGAATACTAGAAGAAAGCTGTATACTATCCAGCAAATAAGGCACATGTCGGAATGCCATTTTATGGACAATCCACAACAGAGGTTTTTACAGTCTCTTTAGCAACATAGTCACCAGATGAGCAAGCTGTCATCTTGATTGCTGAAGCAGAACTGGTACCTCTGAGGCCTTTGTCCATAGGTTTTGTTTGTTTGTTTTAGCTGTACAAGTTTATTAACAGTTACAGAAAAAGAAATTATACAAATCACCAACTGAATCTGACAAGGTCAGTGGGTACAGCTAAACAAATGTAATAACAATTAGGTTAATTTTTATAAAGCTGAAGAAACTCATAACATACAGTGTTAGTTTTAGCACTAGTACACAACGCAGTGGGTGCTGTACTAAATAACCTTTTAAAGGAAACAAGAATCCAGTATAGGGTTGGGTAGACCTCCCATTTTAGCATGGTAAAATATCAAACTAAAAACCCAATCCTTCATAATATAATCAAACTACATGAAATGTAAAGTGTAAAAATGCTTCAAATACGTGCACATGCATATTCTATATTGCTATGAGTTCTAATTAAAATAAACATAACCCCCTACAATAATCTACTTCAATCCTTTTCTCTTACATCCTTTGATTGATATTATTGCTGTAGCCAATAATGCATAGCTGAGCTCACAGTCTGCAAAGAGTTGTGAAAGTCGAGTTGTCAAACAGTGTCTCAACCAGCTCTTTCCCCATCTGGTTATGGGAAAGAACCACCATTTGAAACCCAACGCTTGTGCTTCGGAGTTTCTGAAAGCCGAGTCTCTACGGTGCTTTCAGCATCTTCCGTGTCTCTCACAAGGCCATAAAGTGACATTATACTGTTATTTGCTCCTCACTTGCTATATGTCTAGTGATAGCTTTTTCTAGCAATCCTTCCCCAAATACACATAAATAAACTGTGTAAGCAATTTCATATAAGTCTAAGCACTTGAATAATATATTGGTTACTTAATACTGATATTTTCATCCAAGGATAACAAAAACAATATGGCTTAAAGAATTGCAAGGTTTTTTTGTCAGAATTATGTACCAACTTTCATATAATATTTTATGTAGACAATATTTCCTTCTTAATGTAGTTCTGTTGCATACTTTATACAGACAAAAGCATTGTAAAAAAAAAAAAAAAAAGTAAATTACTTCCATAAATATTTTCTTGAGGATACATCCTTAGTTCTGTAAAATACTTAAGAAAACTCTTACCTCTGTTAGTATCCTAGTTGAGAGGAAGGCCCTTTTGAAAGCTTCCAAATTGTAAAAACTTTTCCCCCAAAAAAACGAACAATACTTTTTTTTTTTTAAAAGGCCCTCAAATATATACAAAAAAGTTACTGCAAAGAGTTTCCAGATAACAATTCAGTATTACAAGAAATATTTGTAACCATTCAAAAATTTTAACATCTAAAAAGGTTTCCAAAATACACACATAGTATTAAAAAAAAAATTGAAAGAAACTCTATGTCAAGTATAACTCAAGATAAATACACATCTGCAAGTAAAACTGTAAAATACTTCATACAGGGGTAAACATTTATATCAATCATCTATAGCTAGTAACTGCACACGATTGTCCCTTTGAAATTCATCCTAGAAACACAAACCATCATCCCTATATCTAAGATCTCCAACAGCCCTCTGAGCACTTCAGCAATGTAGCAAACTGAATGGACAGCAGTGGTTTTGCAGATAGGAAAGAGTTATGGGTTGAAGCCCAATCAGGAGTGGAGTGATAGCTTAAGAATGATTTTTGTATGGGAATAGTTCCATCACATTTTAAAATATGTTGGTAAAGGCAAGTGGAAAATATATGTCAATTTACTTAACTTGAAAAACACATGTTGATGATTTATTGCATACTGTTCAGTAGACAACTCTTAGGATCCATACTAGGATAAAAATAAATTCAGTGTGATTGCAGGACAAAGAGAACTAATCTATGAAGTCTGACACTTTCAAAAGCTCTTAACTTTTAATGTTTTAAGTACTTTTATTTTTGGAATAACTGCTAGAGCGTCACAGGTATGCGATCCATGTATAATCTAAATTTTACCTTATACAAAAAGGTAAAATATAGAGAATACTTCTTGGTATAAGGCTTCTCTCAGACACACATAACTTCACATTTTTAGTTTACAAACTAAGTCCCATATAATGGGGAACTTCAAAATACACCTATTTTCAGAAATAATATATACTCTTGTGTATTTATCTGAAATTAAAAAGCAACTTTGAGACAAAAAGGCCTCAAATTTTGCTTGTGTGGCATTGTTTTATGTCTGTGGTAGCAGCAGTAGAAACTGGCTAAATTGGGGACGTAGTTTAATCTACAGGGATTTTTCTTCATCACCATTAAATGAAGTATTTGTAACAACTTCATAGGAGCTGCATCAAGATAAAGCAGCTAAAAACCTACATCATGCCTTTCAAATCACTGATACTTTTCCCTAGAGCAGTGCCAATGTTAAGGACAAATTCCATGTGAAATGCTCTGACCGACTGAGGAAACAAAATGTGTTTAGTTGTTTGTTTGGTTGGTTTTTTTTTTTTTTTTTTAAGAAATAAAAGAAAGTTTAAAAATCTCTAAAGATGGGGGAAAAGAAGAAAAAAACCAAGTGTGTGCTGGATGAATTGGTAGTCAGGCAACAGCAAGCATCTGATGTTAAAAGCCCAGTTTGCCAAATAAAAGCACAGAGCCAAATTTCTTTCGGGTACTCCTCTACAGAATACTCAGTTTAGGAGGCCTGTATTTATTTAAACTCTTTTTAGTGATGCTTGCTTTGCTTCTGGTAAGACGGTCTAAAAATTCCTTCAAAGATTATGAGCTGATGTTCTAAATGCAGAGTTGGTTACAGAGAACATCAGAAAGCATTCAGAAAAATCTAAGAGGTAAATCAACTCATCCAGTTTCTTTTCAAAAATCTGATTTTTTTTTTTTTTTTTTTTTTTTAAGGTTTTTCCAATCTGGAAAGAGTTAGGTCTATAGATGAATTACCTGCTTGGGGGGGCAGGGGAAGAGAAAAAAAATCTGCATTTTGTGATCAATTTTTTTTTTTTTTCTTTTTTAAAATCAAACTTCAGTAATTTCCTTTCTGTGCCACTAACTCAAAGCCAATGGTCATAAGCTATTGTACATTACCTATGTGGATGTGTTTTGCCAGCAACCCACAAACTCTATACGGATGAGTGTGGAGCAAATGCCCAGGGCCAAATGCTACAATCCTAGGAACCAGCCTCATGCAGGGAGGGACAGGGGAAGGCTCCCCCCATGCGAGCTGGGCGCTGCTGCCTTCCCCAGGTGCCACCTCTCTAGGGCGATGAGGTTTCAGCCCTGTGTGGCGAGGACAGAAAACAAGGGGCTGCCCCACAGGGCTGGGGGGAAGTGGCCGTTCAGTCCCACGGCTGCGGGGAAGAGAGGGTTGTGGTCTCCCCCCGGGGAGCCCCGGCCGCTGTCCCTCCTCACCCCGCTTTCGGCAGGGGTGGCAAGGAAAGCAGGCTGCTCCCGTTCCTGGGGTGCCCAGGGCCTGATCGCACCCGTGCCCTGCACCGGGATGGATCTGCGGTCTCTGAGTCAGGCAGTACAACCTACGGCAATGTTGCTTCTTGCTTTGCCCATTTTGGTCTTTATCTGCTTTTACCCTGCGTGAGTGCAGGGGAAAACCAGTTCTCCTCTTTACTGCAAATATGCTAACTATTACTTAAATACTTTATATGTCTGCTGCCTAGGAAAGTATCAGTGATACAAATATTGAACTCGTAAGTATGCTCTTAAGAATTATTATACTACACCTATAGACATTAACTGTGGTAAAGTCAATCGCGTGTATTTTTAGTACAACCTAAAAATCCATAAGCTAAAGGCATTGCCATGCAGTGTTGAATCTGGAGAAACAGTTTTTAACAGGGCATTGTCATGAGAATAGCAACAATTGCATATGATAATATCTTGTAATTGGCCTTTGCTCAGAACCCGGTGGTGTGCTGTATATTGATGTAGCTATATCAAGGGATGAGCTATTTTACTGATCTAGTGGTTATCATAAAATAGAAATTATTTTGACACAACAAAAAATGGTTGATAGCAGTTTCTTTGTTTCAGGGAGCAAATAAAATAACATTGTCCCTTACCTTCATCTAAGAGGGTTTCTCTACATGTCCTTTAGCTGGATGTGAAGCATCAAGGTGATTTTTTTTTTTTTTTTTTTATGTACTATTAAGTGTTCAGGAGTTAAAAATAGATCTGGTTTAGTATGTGGCTCTTTCAAAATTACTCATGCCTGAAACAAACTATTGAGATTAATACTAGAGATCAAGCTTTGAAAATCCACCCCTAGATTTGCCTGTGTATTTTTCTTATTCTTATTTGTATGGGCAGATTAGTTTTTTGTTTAGAGAATTTGTCTCTAAGGTAATTTCAGAGTTGTGCAGAAGAATGTGTTTCCATTTGAAAATGTTAAGACTGCATATCTTCATTGAGGCAACTGAACTGTTATTAGTGTTAACTTTCAATAATATTATTTTCAACTATTTTAGTTGATGGAATTGCCAACTGGGCAAAACTAGTTTTGAAGTGATCAATGTAGTTAATGCTATTTCAGCATTACTTAGCACTTCTCATCCAGTGATGTCAAAACACTTATACTAAGTAAGCCTCACAACTCTCCTGTGAGGTAGGTATACTGAAGTATTATTATCCCCATTTTGCAGTTGGGGAAACTGAGATTCAGAACGATCTTGTGACTTGCCCAAAATCAGGGAGCTAATGGAAGAGCTGTGGTCAAAAGCCAGGAGTCCCAATGTTTATCCATTGCTCAACCGGTTGGCTGGGTCACCTGGGCTACCCATAAATAATGAAGTTTGCAAGATATGTACATGACACTACAACCAGAATAAGCAGAAACAATTTTACACTGCTTATAGCAAAGCAGGGAAATGGTGGAAGTTTCACCCTAGAGCAAATTTGTAAAGAGCTTCACATTTCCTATATGAATGCTCACTGTAAGTTTTCAATTTGCTTTACAAAAACTTGACTGTACATACTGGTAACATCCTGCTATTGCTTGGCATTAAACCCCATTCTGTCTTAGCGTTATGGAATTAATCCTCAAAACAAATTTAACTCGCATCAAGTTATTTAGGATTTAAAGTATTTCCACTACATATCATTCACACAGATCAATCCCTCTAAAGGAAACTTCATAAAAATAGAAATTGTTGATTAAAAAAAAAAATCTCAAAGAAACATTATCCCTGTAATTTTTTTAGCGAATGCTGCAAGTGAATTGCTTGTGTCCTTTTTGCCAATGTACTTCTATGCAGACATCCAAACAGGGTACTGTCTCGAGGTACTCTGAGTTCATGATATTTCCCAATCCCTGATGAGATATGTCTTTGCAGCAGGATGCCCCTGCACAAAGTTTTACCTGAAATGGGACAATGAAATACAACTCCTACATTTCTCCTCAGGTATGCAGGTGCTTCAGGAAGACAAAGAGGGAAGATTATACAGAGAGTTCTCCATGCCTCAAAACACCCCTATGGCTAACAAGTTTTATATTATATAACAAATTTGTACAGTAGAAAACAGGACATAAAAATATTTCCAGAAAGTGGCTTTAAAACTATTATAAATAGTAAGTTTGGCTAATCTTTCAATGACGGGTTTTGGGGACAGTTTTAAGTATTCTTATCCCCCCTTATTCACAGTAAATTTAATGTGCTTGTGGCCTAATGAACAACCCATACACATACAGGGACCATTTCAGTGGGATTATATGACAAGAGAAGGATCTGTTAGTTGCACAAGCAAGCCAGTTTTGTCTCCTCCGAAAACCTCTTGGAATCCTTCCTGATGCTCTGGGTCCCATTATGGCATTCCCTTTCTACTGAACCCACACCCTCAAACAATTATTCACTTTTTTTTTGCCACATTCTGCAAAAATGATTTTGCCTAAACCCTGTCCAAGTGATGGTAACAAACAGAGAAAGTCCAAGAAATCAGCAGCACAAAACTCTTAGACTTTCTAAAACTGGGAAAACAATAATTTACCTTCTTTTACGCTGTGGCTTGTTTCATCTTCCTTTGTCTTGTCATATAATAGGAATAACGTTCATGTTGTGGGTGGATGCTTGCAATTAGTGGCCCCACAGTTATTTAACCTCTGCAAAAGCCATACATATAAAATATATTCTTTGTGTATATTATACCTTGCCTATTGAATAGTACTTCATTTCACCTGGCCATGATATAGGGTCTGTGTAAACAATCAGCAGAACCTGCAACCACGGTTCTGTTGTGAACGCTATCAGTAACGCTTTCTGTATGTGTGTGTACATATATATATATAAATTTACATATATATGTATGTATATAAATCATAGTCCTGTAAATCCCTGGTGCATGTGTGTGCATGCACAGGAGAAATGTTACATTCTATTAAAGGTAAGGCATATTATTAGATAGGCAATATTGGCAATTATTTTAGCTTTTATCTTGATTTGCTGTGCTGTTGATCACATGCTGCCAGAGGATCTTTAAGGATGATGGGGACAGGAAGAGGCCACTTCGAAGGTTTATTGCACACGGCGGCAGTAGTAGCCCAAAACTTTGCACTTCTCACACAGATGCTGGGGGTGTTCTTTGCTCTGATCTGAAACATCCAGGCCGTCCGGCTTTTCCAGGGGTCTCTGCAGTGAAGGGAAAGAAATCAGATTAGATCCAAGGTTTTGTCAATGTTACTTTTTATTATGCATGTGAAGCCTACTTTTATGCTTAACTGAGCTTTCTTGTAGTAATTATAAAGGTACTGTAACTCTTTCCTGAAGGGATGAAATATTTTTTTGAGCTCTTCAGCTCTGTATTGGTTCAGTGGCCTAATAACTTAATGCCATTCTTCATAAAGGTGGTGGTAACTTTGTTGTAGACAAATTACCAGAAGACTGAATTGAGGACTATATTTATAAAAAGCAGTGACACGGAAGAGTTTATTCTCTTGGTTCCAGTAACAGAGATGTCCCAAAGGCATTAACACCTCAAGCATGGGAATCCCATTACCCAGCAGGGGTTACCAATGTTAAGATTATCTGCTAAAACAAGAAAACTGTCTTAACCATGCATAGATATTACGTAGCTAAATGAGGTTTTTCCAATACTCAGTCCCATATTTCTGAGGCTGACATTTTTTAAATAGAGCGGCTGTAAAGCTATTAATAAAAAAATAAGAAACCCCAAAACAAACAAACAAAACCCAAACAAAAAACCCTATCTCACAGCACAACCCTCTACCCTGAATCTGAGTAATAAATTGACTTTGTATTTTTAATAATATTTCTGAAATCACAGAATTGGAGGTATATTTGACTAAACAAGGGAAAGGGCTTTGTTTTTAGTAGATCTTTGTTGTTTAATTTTCCATGACATGTAAAAGGTTTCACAATCATTCTGAAAATAAAATACCTATGTTATACTGCAGTACATTTAAGTGTTTGGAAAGTCTAATAGGTAGAGAGGCGATAGAGATATAAGGTAAAACATCATAAAGTACACCATTTTTTAAAACAAACAAACAAACAAAATTCCTTAGCCCATAATTTCTCTGTTTTTGTGAAATGTACATGAAAGACTACTTCATTGCCCAGTGCCTTCCCATGAAGACAACAGTTGTTCTATGGGACCATGGTAGAGACAGCACGTGGTGTGAAATCTGAAAACAAGCCATAAGCTTCTCACTGTTCTCACAGGGATACTAGACTCTTGCTTATCTCTTCAAAATATAATTCCTGGAGCAGGGGGTGGATAAATGTAAATTACAAAAATATGGCCATTAATTTTTTTCACACCTTCCCTAGGTCCTACACTTTCCTTTATCTATAAAATCTTAACGCACACCTGATCATCTAAGTTTTCATTTATAAATTCTTCAGTCCAAAGCCACCCGAGACCCTGCGGATAGGAAGAATAAAGACATTCAAAGCTTTTTTTGGCTATGTAACACTGCAAGAACAGATCATAATCCAGAAATCAGAAGAGCTTCTCAGCTCTCTGAATAGCTAAAATGAGACAAAATATATTCTATTATCCCGAACAAGGGATGTCTGCAAACTCTTGCTTGGATGTGTGGGATTATAAGTGCAACACTTGTGATATTGCACAGCTAGTAAAAACAATATATGGGAGTAATTCAGGGGTGATTGTCAATGGTTACCAATTCAGTGTTCTTCCCCATGATCTCACCTGAAGTTTCGTCTGTCCTAGTCCACATATTATATGTATTTGAGTCTAAATTCATTTACAATTTAATTGTAAATTGGATTCCCTGTATCAGGTAGGCGGTAAGGAAAGTAAGTGCACATCTCATCTCTAAATCCTTTAACCTCCCCCTGCAGCCCCACTTGTTGGAAGTCACTATGTTAGGATTTGGGATCAGAACCAGTGATCATGTTTCTAGGCTTGCAATCCCACCACTGGTGCAGGCAGTGCTTCTCCCACAATGCAGACAAGTTGAGTAAGTCTATTTGGTCAGAAAAACTGCCCTCCTGCCTTTTCTCCCACTTATTCCACCAACATTTGCCCACAAATTTTCTTCAAGAATTTGCATTACATAAATGCAGTCTAAGATGATGCTCAGGTTCAGGAGTCCCAGGAGTTAATTTATGTTCCTCAATGGAGAATCTGAGAGTTTTGAAATGCTACACTTAAAACAGGCTACTCAACTCAGCTCTGATTGCTTCTACATGCTAGCTGTACTGATTAAAGAGAAAAAATACAGCAGTTACCATGTTTATTGATATAAGCCAGATTTTTTTTTTTTTTTAATATGCAAGGCCTTGGGAATCATTTTTCCTGGAAATAGTGCAAAGGACATTGGGAATGCCTTGAAGCGCCAAGAGTTTTTGGATGGTTTTCAGAAACAATAGCTCTCCATGGTTTGCTTTCCCCCTGCGTTGATTGAGCTCAGCTTTTTGGCTTACAAAGCATTTTGATTTCAGAAATGTTATTGTTACCAGTGTGTTACGACACGGAGGCTGGGGAGAGAGGGGTTACGAACGCAGGAAAGCAGGTTGCCAAGGGCCAGCTGGAATGAGCGGAGCCGAGCAGAGCCCAGGCTACGTTTCTGGTGAGGCAGTGGAGGGCCGAGACTTCGAAACTGGTAGAGTGCTCATGTGGTTTGTGTCCCAAAACCACTTCAGTCTAACTTTTGCATAAAATGAAGTCCCATCGTATCTCCATTTGCTGTTTTCTCCTCATGGGTTTCTTGTGAGGCAAAAAAATCCCCTTCAAACACCCTGAAAAACAGCAGTTCTTGTCCTGCTGTTATTTGTCTGTTACTAATTGTGGAGGCCTTTAAAGCAAGAACCTTGCACTCTTGCAACCTTTTTTATGCCAAGCTAAAAGGGTAGGACATCAGATAGCCAAAGAGCTGTGTGTCCATCAAGGCTGGACTTCTTCAGCACAGGCTGACCTTGGACAATTTTCACCAGCTTTGGTGTGGTGGAAGGAGAAGATGCCAGCACAAGAGGGGTGCAGCAGGGTGTTAGTTTTGGGGATTGCCTGAATTATGCAGAAGATCCACATAGCTGAGGAGGCTGCAAGAGCTCTGTGCTGCTGCTGAGAGGCCAGTAGCATAAAAACCTCAGCCATGCATTTGGAGAGGGTGCGGATAAAGGGGCAGGCTATTTGGCTGAAAAAAATAATTCCTTTCTTTAGGAAGAGGTGAAATGGAGCTTGTAAAACAACAGAAAATCCTGATAGGTTTCTCTGGGAAAGGTATGCTTTTTTACATTAAATGGAGAGCTTAAATACTATCCTTCAATTTTCATTGTCTTTTTTTTTTTTTTTTAATGCAAGCATCCAGGATTTGATTTGGCAGTCCATTTTTTCAGTAAAAGCTACAAAGATGGGCACTCTTACATTCTTCATTTTTGTGTGTCTTTAATTTTCTCCTGGTAGTTGACAGGTGGAAATAATCTTGTGCAGCTCCACCAGGAAAGCATTTGGTGGTAGCGACTAAAGCTGTTGCCCCAAGGGAATGAAGCTGAAATAAATTTAAATTTATATAGCAATTCCTGTCCTGCAAATTAACTTTTGATTGTGAACTATTGCTGTCCCAGTCTGCATGTACTGAATGAACTCTGCACTCCCCACAAGTCAGTTAAAAATATCAATCCCTCCAAACAAAAAGCTACCCCTTATGACACGTTAAGTGTCGGAGAAAACGTCACTAGGACATCCTCGAGGAAAATCGCTTCCACTAAGGAGCAGAATGCAATAATGTGGCTGCTTACGTTTGTATTTAGAAGATTTTTTTTTTTTTCTGTAAAATGGAACAATCTGATTGCACCACTGATAGATAAAGGATTGCATTAAAATTCAAATGTAAGAAAACACTTAAATAATTTTCTAGTCTCATTACCTCAAGTCACAGAGGAGCAAATCAGATGATTAAATGACAGATTAAATATGTGAGTAGAAACAGATTCTACAACTATAACTGGCAGATTAATTGTTATGTTAACAGTTTTAGGGAACTACAGCTAGCTATGCTTCCCTCAAGACACACATGCTATCATGAATTTCTAAATTTTTAGACCAATAAAAAATTATGCAATGGGGAAAAAGAATGAAATGCAATGTGCATCCTTGAGCAGCAGACCCTCTACTCTTCTGTCTGCCTGAGGGAAACGGGGACATTAACAAGGCCCTCAGTTTTCTCTGTGGATCTGACAGGCAGTGGTAAGAAGGCTGCAGATCAGAGGCATGATGCAGCAAGTGGCCTCTGTCAGCAGCATGCCTCTGGGACAGGCTAGCTAGGAATGAATGATAACAGCATGAACTAAATGCTGAAAATCTTTTTAGAGTTCAGAGAAGCAGCAGTCTGGAGTGATCTGTATTCCCACTGCTGGAGTATACAAGGATGGGCATGCTGGGGAGAGTTTATTAAATCTAAAGAGTCAAAAGATCATACTTGTAAACCTGAAGCTCTTTTAAAGTGTATTGGGCTTGAGTGATCAGACCCATCCCTCCCCATGTTGAGAGAAGAGCAGTGGCTGTGGATGCACCCAGGCACAGGAATTGTGATGGGACCGCTGCACTGCCCATGGCAGTAATAGCTGGGATATAATGAAGAATGTATTTACATACCAAATTATTTCCAGTCCAACAGTAAATTCCTGACAGCTGGAAGAAAATAGTGTCCAAGAGGACAAGTCGGTCACCAGATGGCTGGTTCTGCACCAGTGCAACAGCTGTCATCACAAACAGCACTGGAGTTAGCCGCAAAGTCAGAGAAGAAGCCTTGATAAGAGGCCAGCCAGGAAGCAACCACAGGTGCAGATGTTGCTGCTATAGCAGACAGGGGAAGAAAATGAGAATTCAAGCTTGGCATCTGGGCTGTTAACAGTGCCAAGAATGTTGGTGAATGGCTGTAAGGACTGGCTCCATTGCTGAAGCAGGGTAAGAAGGAGCATAAACAACTAAAAAATCCAAATTACTTGGAAGAATAAGAGGTAGGTTTAAGTCCCATCTGAGATGTCTGTTTATGTTTAGAGTATCAAAAGTAACTACTCAGGAAGCTACTTTTGGAATAGCCATAGAGCAGCTTTGTCAGGGTGTAGTTCCTTGGTCTCCTACTCCTCAATAAAGCTTGATCTCAATGGGCCTCCAATTTTTGTCTCATGTCCTGTGAATT